TGATACAGCTTGGTGTAGTGCACAGATAGGGTTGTTTCACCCAAAATATGGTGTATGCTAGAAGCATTTCGGGGACCAACGGGAGTAGTGGGATGAGCATGTCAAGGGGGATGGAGCTGCTTGCAAAGGAAAGGCATAAATGTGTAGAATACAAAAGCAGAAATTCCTCAACACAGGAGAGTATTCTGGAGAAGTATTGCTATATGTTTACATGTAGTTTTTACTCTTAAGTAAATTGTAATGCTCACTTTGTAAACAATAGGCTTTGTAAAGGTTTCTCAGAGCCTTTGGTCAACCCAGCACAGCCATTATTCTGTTACGCAAGCTTCAGTAGTTTCTGCTAACATACCAACTAGTTCTTTTCTAATCATTTGTTTGTGATTTCTGAAAGAATTCCTTTTTTTCTAGTATGCTGCTTCTCTTGCTAGAACTACACAGTAGCAAACATGGAACAACAAAAAAAGATTGTTAACCAGTATTCCGCATATTATCTTATGAACCAAAGAGTGCCCATTCTCCAACATGGTAGTATGTTTGAACTGGAACATAACCTAGAGGTATTTGTATTTTACCAGTATTGTAGGCTATCTTATATCTCTCTGTGGTATTCAAAATACCATAGTTGATTTTATTTGCATAATGCATTGCCTTTCTTAAAAAGTAAAGAGTTTCCAAAATACTGTTTTTTTACATAGTGAAGTCCGTCTTGATAGTTAAGTGGTGTAGAGTATTTTGTCACCTCTTTATTTTCCCATGGATCATTTCCTTCTTGTGATTTCAGAATTGACTTTTCCATGCACCCTTTCACAAAACATGATGTGACAACTCTGGCGGTCACATGGATGTAAAATACCTAGAGGGATAATCAAGCCTTACACAATTTAAACTTTGATTATGTAGTTAAAATCAGAAAAACTGAGCACTGGGATTCCTGTTTTACCTTCCACAAAATAATATATGTGCTCATATAAGATACAAGTAACACCAGATCAGACTTTCACTATTAAATGCATGTTATACATTTAGTATCTTACCAAAGTGTGCTTCTGGTTGAAATAACTCATTCCAACCTACTGTTGAAGCTGTTCCTGTATATCCTACTCATAGGTATTTCTCTTAGGTTATTTTGTCTCCGTTGATTAAAAATTATTTATTCTTCTGCACAAAAATTTCTCTGTGGTTCTGGGATAACTCAGATTGTATTACACAAAGCATGTAGGGTTTTTTTGAAGAAAATGTTACAACCCTTGTAAGAAGTTGTTATTAGCATGTTCTGACATTTAAAAACAATTTTTTAGAAGTTGGTTCTATGTCAGAGTAGAAAACATAATCCATTGTGAAATGAGTCATAGACCTAAGTACCTTGAGAATATCCTTTTTGGGGGCAAAAAAGAAGTTTCCCCCCTCTATTTATTTAGCTAAAACCATGTAAGGCCAAGCCTATAAAGTTTAAAAGGAGAACACATTCCAACATTTTTAACACAATTTTCTGTAAGAGGAGGAGGATGTACTTAAACTTATATTTTAAGGTAAACAAAACTTGAAAGATCAGAGACTGTCTATTTTGCAGTTGGTTTTTTCTTTTCTTTTTTTTTAATATGATACATTTACAAATTTGGATTTTTATAAGCAATTGGAACCTGAAAAATCAACTTCTCTCTTGGGCCCAGAAAAAGATTATGAAATGAATTCCTTTCTCAGGAAGGCTGAACTTGGTTGCCAAGTATGTCTTATTCTTCACAGCACCCCAGGATATTTAGTGCTAAGAGAATCTTCTTGCACATGGCTGGCTTTGTACTGGCAGACAGCTGCCTGCACTCTTGTCTCCCTCCTCCTCTACACCAGCTAACCCCAGCAGATTTCACAAGGAATTGATGATGATGATCTTCCCTGGGAGAACTTCACCTCTTCCTGATTCAGGTCTCTTATTTGCTCTCTGGTCCCCAGATCATTTGAAGCTGCAAACGTCAAGATGATAATTTATACAATAAATAGATGTTAAGTGAAAATATAATTCCACATCATTTCAAAATTCTCCTGCCTTGATGTCCATGTCCAGCTTTTGGATGCTTGCGAGTTTAGTGCTCTGTCCTTTCTCTTCAGATTCATCATTGGGTTGGCTTTGCTTATTTGCTTTGACTTGTTCAGTAAAATCACCTTGATAAAGACAATGTGCATCTTAGTTATGTTATCAGATAAGATGGTATGTTTGTAACAAGAGAAAGTAGCTCTGCACCCAAATACACTTTCTGTTTCTCAGAGTCACTGAAGCATATTTGTGTTCCCTATGATACCTCGCAGGGACCTCATGGGAGGTCTGTGTGTTGCTGTCATAGCATAGGGTGTAACAGGTGAGCCAGCACTGAGAAGGCATTGGTAGGAATAATCTAAGTCTTTGTTAAATTGGGGATGTTTACAGCTGCTGGGAAGTGATTTTCATAGTCAAACTATAAAGAGTACATCAGAATACCAGCATGGTATGGCTGACCAGAGGAAGATTGCAAGCAAGTACCCATGTTTGTGATTTGTTCCCTATGCCTGTTTCTCACCAGGTATAGACACACATGGTCTTTTTTGGTATGTTTTCATTGACAAAGGGGAGTGAGGACATGACAATAGACATGCATCTTTTTAAAAAAAAAAGGGGGGGAGCAAACCAACCCCAAACTTTGTTTTTTTTAAAAGTAAAACCTAATTGCATAATTTGAGAATAGTGAACAAATGAAGAGTCTTTGCACATATTCAAGTTACATTGCTAACTATCATTTCAGTAAGAATAACACTGTTACCATAATATGGATGTTAAACCAGCTTAGGGTATAATTGGTTTTTGTCTGCAAGCATAAGCTCATCCCAACCAAAGGAGAGTCAAGTCCAAAGTGTAACAAATGTTTCCTAGTCGTCATAGCCCATGGGTGGAATGTTTTCCTTTGGCCAGACTGCAGGTGAGGGCATATTCAAGTTAGGATTGTAGAACCATCAAACAGCCTAGGACTGGAATGAAAAAGATCATTGGTCCATCCTTACCTGGGAAAGGGAGCCTAGATGAGATTATCTAGCACGCCTGCCCAGTTGCATCTTGAAAACCTCCTGTGATGGGGACTCTACTACATCCCTAGGGAGTTTGTTGCAGTGATTGATTGTTCTTGCTGTAAAAAGTTTCTTTCTTATATTGACGGGAAACGTCTCCTGGTGCAGCTTGTACCCATTGCCCCTTGTCTTCTCCTTGTGGCTCCAAGTTACTTTGTCATTTCTGGTTGCTCCTTTTCTGTTTGGCAGAAAAGCATGTGCACTAGAATTGGCAAGCAGTTTTTACCATGCCAGCTGCATAAGTATTTGCACACCATGTTATATATGCCACTTTGAAAATACTTTAAAAAAGTAACTAGAAGAGGTTTAAGCCCTTCTTTCTATTCACCTTGACCACCATTTTTGCACTGTAATATGAATATTGAAAATTTAGCTTTATGAAACAAGTTGCCGTTAAGATGCAAACTGCTTTCCTACATTTACCTGGAGAACACGCAAAAAGAAGTGCTATGTCTCTCACGTTGCTTTCTGAACAGGCACTGCAGTAAATCTTGCATTTGGTATAATGAGTTGTAATATTTAGTTATTCTAAAGGTATGGTACAATAACAGATTATTGTTGTTCATATCTGTGTAATAATTGAAACTGCCTGATCATACTTTCCATTTTACACATTGTCAGAACCGTGGCCCTTAATCTCCCTCTTTGATTGACAGTCGCAGCCAGGGAAAGAGCACTCTTATTGTTTGTGATAGTCGCATCTGTTCAACTTGATTCAGTTGAGAGTATTTGCATATTCTTAAGTATTTTTTCTGAGAGGGCCTAAATCCTTCTCAAGTGTTTGATGCATTTTTGAAATTCATTCATAAGGTATCTACATGCACTAATAGTTCTGTATAATATTGCTGTGCATAATCTGACAGATAAGGCTAGTTTTTTAAACAAGGTATTCTTTGGGGATGACATATTACATTCTGACTTATTCTACTGGGCAGAAATGTCAAGTACTTTGAAAAAGGATGCTTGAATGTTTTGGTTGAATTAGTGTTCTTTATTCAACACAAATTGTCAACTGCAGTAAAATGTAGTCTTATTGTGAGAACGTTTTTCAAAAGAGTTAACAGCAGGGCTTTTTTGTTTTATTTTTGTTACTGGAGCTTTATTACAGATAATCGTTCTTTGCTGATGATGCTGATATTAGATGGAACAAGAGAATAGATTCTTAGATGCGTTTTAGATTAATTTGTCTGAGTTGTTAAACTGTGAGCAACACCTTTATCTTGAAATACAACTTAGGCTTTTATCTTTCTCTTTTCTTGCTTTATATTTTTTTTCCTTGCAAAATTTTTATCAATATTTTTGGAAGCATTGTCAACCTTAATTTCAGAAACCTGGCACTCTTAATAGTACGTGTACAACACTAATGAGAAGTATCATTGCTTTGAAGACTATTCAGGCATTATATTTGAGCACTGAACACAGAAGTTCAACATATTAACTTGATGGCCTCATGACATTACGTAAATAAATATATGCATAACTGAAACCCATGTCTTCCATAGGTTGGGAGTCCTAGTCCAGGACTATCCTCAAGTTTGGACAATACTAGTCTAGATTGCTATCAGAAGGAATTGATATATTCCCACTTGCTTAAACAGATGTGTGCTGTGGATGCTACTACAAGCTCAAGCCCTTAAAGACTTAGGATCTCATACGGAAGATCACTAATCACAATGAATAACCTTTTTTTTTCGATTGTACTAAGCAGGTGTTCAAAGAGCCACCCTTAGTGGCTGACCTAGTTTAAGAAATGGGTTTGTCTCTAGAAAGGGCCATAGCAATCCCTGCTATCTGTGTACTTGAAAAAAAGAATGATGGGGATTTAATAAGCATATGTTTTGTTTTATGCGCATGCACGTTTTAATGTAACAGCACCTTTTACATTAGTTTTGCCTTTTCTTTGCTTTCAGGAATCTCCTTCTGGACGCAGGAAAGCGCTTGCCACCAGCAGCATCAACATGAAGCAATATGCAAGCCCCATGCCTACACAGACAGATGTCAAGTTAAAATTCAAGCCTTTGTCTAAGAAAGTGGTATCTGCCACACTACAGTTCTCTTTATCTTGTATATTCCTGAGGGAAGGAAAAGCCACGTAAGTTTGTGTTTTGGTTTTTTTTTATACCAGATAGCCTGCTTTGTGTTGTTTTTCAAAGAATTCTTTGGATAAAGAATAGAATGTATAGAATGGAAGAATTTGATAGTATCCTTCAGCATACCTATCATTCCTGCCATACTTAGTTTCTTAGCTAGGTAAAAGTCGTTTCTTACTCTGATTTTAGTCTTGTGTTCTTCAGAGACAAATGTCTACCGTTACAGACATTTTAAATAACAGCAGCTTAAAAACATCTACAGGTTTGAAATCAGCAGGAGTGTACATTTATGTGTGCGTTCATCCAACAATACCCTTAGCAGACTGCAAGGGAGAACTTACTTCTATTTCACCTATTTATATTTCACAAAGAATGAAAGAAGGACAAAGCCATTTGTACGGTGAGAGAGGGTGGAGTCAGAAGTTAAGATTCTGGGTTGAACACAAGGATGTTATGCTCTTTGATTGACAGTCGCAGCCAGGGAAAGAGCACTCTTATTGTTTGTGATAGTCGCATCTGTTCAACTTGATTCAGTTGAGAGTATTTGCATATTCTTAAGTATTTTTTCTGAGAGGGCCTAAATCCTTCTCAAGTGTTTGATGCATTTTTGAAATTCATTCATAAGGTATCTACATGCACTAATAGTTCTGTATAATATTGCTGTGCATAATCTGACAGATAAGGCTAGTTTTTTAAACAAGGTATTCTTTGGGGATGACATATTACATTCTGACTTATTCTACTGGGCAGAAATGTCAAGTACTTTGAAAAAGGATGCTTGAATGTTTTGGTTGAATTAGTGTTCTTTATTCAACACAAATTGTCAACTGCAGTAAAATGTAGTCTTATTGTGAGAACGTTTTTCAAAAGAGTTAACAGCAGGGCTTTTTTGTTTTATTTTTGTTACTGGAGCTTTATTACAGATAATCGTTCTTTGCTGATGATGCTGATATTAGATGGAACAAGAGAATAGATTCTTAGATGCGTTTTAGATTAATTTGTCTGAGTTGTTAAACTGTGAGCAACACCTTTATCTTGAAATACAACTTAGGCTTTTATCTTTCTCTTTTCTTGCTTTATATTTTTTTTCCTTGCAAAATTTTTATCAATATTTTTGGAAGCATTGTCAACCTTAATTTCAGAAACCTGGCACTCTTAATAGTACGTGTACAACACTAATGAGAAGTATCATTGCTTTGAAGACTATTCAGGCATTATATTTGAGCACTGAACACAGAAGTTCAACATATTAACTTGATGGCCTCATGACATTACGTAAATAAATATATGCATAACTGAAACCCATGTCTTCCATAGGTTGGGAGTCCTAGTCCAGGACTATCCTCAAGTTTGGACAATACTAGTCTAGATTGCTATCAGAAGGAATTGATATATTCCCACTTGCTTAAACAGATGTGTGCTGTGGATGCTACTACAAGCTCAAGCCCTTAAAGACTTAGGATCTCATACGGAAGATCACTAATCACAATGAATAACCTTTTTTTTTCGATTGTACTAAGCAGGTGTTCAAAGAGCCACCCTTAGTGGCTGACCTAGTTTAAGAAATGGGTTTGTCTCTAGAAAGGGCCATAGCAATCCCTGCTATCTGTGTACTTGAAAAAAAGAATGATGGGGATTTAATAAGCATATGTTTTGTTTTATGCGCATGCACGTTTTAATGTAACAGCACCTTTTACATTAGTTTTGCCTTTTCTTTGCTTTCAGGAATCTCCTTCTGGACGCAGGAAAGCGCTTGCCACCAGCAGCATCAACATGAAGCAATATGCAAGCCCCATGCCTACACAGACAGATGTCAAGTTAAAATTCAAGCCTTTGTCTAAGAAAGTGGTATCTGCCACACTACAGTTCTCTTTATCTTGTATATTCCTGAGGGAAGGAAAAGCCACGTAAGTTTGTGTTTTGGTTTTTTTTTATACCAGATAGCCTGCTTTGTGTTGTTTTTCAAAGAATTCTTTGGATAAAGAATAGAATGTATAGAATGGAAGAATTTGATAGTATCCTTCAGCATACCTATCATTCCTGCCATACTTAGTTTCTTAGCTAGGTAAAAGTCGTTTCTTACTCTGATTTTAGTCTTGTGTTCTTCAGAGACAAATGTCTACCGTTACAGACATTTTAAATAACAGCAGCTTAAAAACATCTACAGGTTTGAAATCAGCAGGAGTGTACATTTATGTGTGCGTTCATCCAACAATACCCTTAGCAGACTGCAAGGGAGAACTTACTTCTATTTCACCTATTTATATTTCACAAAGAATGAAAGAAGGACAAAGCCATTTGTACGGTGAGAGAGGGTGGAGTCAGAAGTTAAGATTCTGGGTTGAACACAAGGATGTTATGTGAAAAGAGTTCAATTGGGCACTGATTACTACTCACCTGGTTCTGTCCCTTATTTCAACAGCCTCTGGAGGACAGAGGATACAGATTATTTTTGCAGATCTTATAAACCTCTCCTGCAATTTCTGTCAGATTCAGGATGTCAAATGTTGACAACTTCTTGTAGTTGGAGGATGGATCATTTGTCATCCATCCTGTTTTGCTTTTGCTTTCTGTCTCTAGAATATGATAATGTGAGAATCATAAAATTATAGAATCATTTAGGTTGGAAAAGATCTTTAAGATCATAGAGATCCAACCATTAACCTAAAACTGCCAAGTCCACCACTAAACCATGTCCCTAAGCACCACATCTACCCATCTTTTAAATACATTCACTCAACTGCTTCTCTGGGCAGCCTGTTCCAATGCTTGACAGCCCTTTAGGTGAAAAAATTTTTCCTCACATCCAATCCAAACCTCCCCTTGTGCAACTTGAGGCCATTTCCTCTCATCCTTTCACTTGTTATTTGGGAGAAGAGACCGACCCCCACTTTGCTATAACCTCCTTTCAGGCAGTTGTAGAGGTTGATAAGGTCTCCCCTCAGCCTCCTCTTCTCCACGCTAAACATCCCTGGGAGCTGCTCCTCATAAGACTTGTACTCCAGCCCCTCAATGTCCTTCTTGCTGTGAGGGGCCCAAAACTGATGACAGTTTTCCAGGTGCAGCCTCACCAGTGCCGAGTACAGGGGCATGGTCACTTCCCTGGTCCTGCCGGTTGCACCATTTCTGATACAAATGGCAGAAAAAAAAGGGGTAGATGGGAAAACTACTGCTCTAGAGGTCCTTTCACCTCATTTTTTAAAATTTTCTCCCCTCTCTTTCCCCCCCCAAAGGCTAACAGTTTACTTCTAGCTTTCAGTATTCTGAATGCAGTTTGTAGACATTGCCCACTGCAATACAAGTGCCCCAAACTGTTGCATGAACAGCTCTCCAGACTGCCGTGTTAAGTTATATATTTTGACACAAAAAGGCTTTTTGTCTGCATACTTTGAAAGCCACAGATTCATTAATTACTGTTAATTACTGTTACTGTTTCCCTTCTGTGATTAACCTGTTGTGAACCACATTTTGACCTACCATATAAGAATGATATTTTTAGGTACTTAGCTGTGCTTTAACCTGATATTGCAGCTGAAAATGGGAATGAAAAAGTTAGTATCTGGTAACTTCTTGATTTTTTTCGAACAACCAGCATGCATGAACTATACAGTAAGTAGCTATACTAGGCTCTTAGTGCGTTTTGAGGCCATAATTTATAAAAGCTGATCCATTTAGGATCACATATACCTTCTTCCCATTGAAATCAATACGTTTGAGACTGAAGACTGTAAGTCAGGTAGACTGTAAGTTAACAACAGGGCTTTGATATTCCCCTGAACCAGAGACCTGGAAAAAAAATAAGCTGCTGTTTGTGAAAGCATTGGTTTCCAGTATGTGTAAGTAGAGACTGTCCTACTAGTCAAAATAGAGAATTTAGATGTCACATGTATGAACATGCAAGACAAGGTAGCTAGGCCAAGGTTTATTTACATCTCTTACAAACTGTAGTAGTTCTATAAAGTGAGATTCACTTTTAATTTGATTTTATGCACTATATAAAGAAAATAGTGCAGCCTGTTGCTGTGCAGTACCGAAAGTAGTCTTATTTCTGAAACACAGAACAAAAGTATTAAAAGTATGAATACAGAAAGGACAGTAAAAATAAATAGTACTTTGGAGACCTTTTAATTTCTGAACTTCACATGGACAAGTGATGTACAAAATCTGAGTGCTAACTGCTCCCAGCCTTTCGTCTTCAGTGCATACAAAAGCTTGCCCATCAATGCTGCTATAGGGTGCCATGTTTTCTCTTCTGTGCTTGAAGAGTTGATTTAACCTATTGGTTATCAAAACAGGAAGATGAAACCTTGATAATTTTGCATGAATGAAAAGGCCTTTCTGACTTCTTGGTAGTTACTTATTTTATTTTTATTAATACTTTTTATATTATAGAAGTATTTAGTTGTCCTGTGTAACTGTGGGTTCTGTGGTGTTGATTACTTTGAATGTGCAGAGTAGCAAATTATTGTCCCAAACAACTTCTGATTTTAACAACATGTTAAATCACTGAGTTTATTCTCGTGTTTTAAGCACCTATGTGTTTGTGTGCAGATCTGAGGCATGATTAGTGTGTTATTTCTATACTTATAAGTGGTACCTTTAAAATAATTTGTATAATTTTCTTGGCATTGTTAGGCATGAAATCTGTGCATCTGGTTTTATCATGATCAATGTCAAAGAAGATAGAATAATTCAGGTTGGAAGGGACCTATAGAGGTAGCTGGTTCAGCCTCCTGCTTACAGTAGTCAGCTGTGTCATCAGACCAGCTTGCTCTGGGCTTTATCCCACTGGGGCTTGAAAACCCCCAAGAATGGAGAGTGCACAACCTCTCTGGGCAGCCCATCCCACTGCTTGTTGATGACTGTTCCAACTTTTTTCTCACATCACATCAGAACCTCTCTGTTTTCAATCTGTGTTCACTGTCTGTCATCCTCCCACCTTTCACCACTGTCTTCTCAGCAACATCCTCATAGGTGCTGTCAGGGCTGCTGCTAGGTCCTCCCGAAGCCATCTCTTCTCCAGGCTAAACAAGTCCATTTCCTTCAGCCTCTCTTCATAGGTCAAGTGCTCCAGCCCCCAGCCATCTCAGTGGCCTTCTGCTGACCTTGCTCCAGTTTATCAACACCTTTTCCTGTACTGTGGGACCCAACGCTGGACAAAGTACCCTAGATGCAGTCAGTGAACTCCAAGTAAATGGGGGTTATGACTTCCTTCTGTCTACTGCTTGTGGTCCTGTTTTAATACATCTCAGGATGCTGTTAGCCTCCTTTGGCTGCTAGGGCATGGTTTCGGCTCTCCTTGAGCTTCCTCTCCACCAAGATCCCAGAGTGTTTTCAGCAGAGGTGCTCCCTAGCCAGGCAATCCCTAGTCTGTCTTATTGTAAGGAGCTAAAAAAAATGTGATTAATCTTTTCAATAAACCTATTGAAATGGTTTTACAAGAGAAGAGGTAAGACTAGTATTGCTTCAAGAATGACAGTTTACTTCAAAAATCTTGGGGTTTTTATGAAACAAATATAGAGCATCCATTTCTCTGAATCTTTGTCTGCTTTCATCTTTTCATCAAATATATATTTGATATGAAAGGTACAGTTATGTGAAAGATAAAGATATATATATATATGAGATACAGTCAAATAAGAATTGAAATTGTCAATTGCTATGTAATTTTTTTTTTATCTTGTTAATGAATTCAGATGTTTAGAAAAGGTATTTTAATTTCTATAACAGTGCCAGGAGTTCTGAATGAATGTAGTGGTAGGTGTCACATGCAGCATATGCACAGTAGGTCTGACCAAACATTTTTACTTCAACCAAAGGAGACCAGATAAGTATTTACTAGCATTTCTAGGCTGGTTTAAAATTTTGAGAAGCAGTTGTTAAGTTGACTTTTAATGCACAGCAGGACTGTTTTTACCCTTCAGAATTTTCTTAATAGAAAACTTTCCCTTCAGAAATTAATATACTTGAGTGTATTCATTTTGTTCTTTCACTATATTCAAGATCAGATCTGAGATCAGAGACCTCCCTGAAGAAAAGAAAGCATAAAAATATTTAAAGGATTTTTAATAATGCAGCAGTATCAGATGTGGTATTAACAGACTGCATTTTAATGCCTGGTTTGAAATCTATTATTTAGGGATGAAGACATGCAAAGCTTGGCTAGTCTGATGAGTATGAAACAAGCTGATATTGGAAATCTAGATGATTTTGAGGAAGACAATGAAGAAGATGAAGAAAACAGAGTGAATCAGGAGGAAAAGGCTGCAAAAATTACAGGTTGGTTTTGTCATACGGATGGTAAAATATAGTTCCTTTTGCTAATTGCCAGGTGTGTTTTGTGGATTTTATCCTTATGCTATATTTGTATTTAATTTTGAACAATCCAAACCAAAACAAAATTTAGGATCATTTGATTGAAGAGGGACCCATAACTCAACAAAGTTTAATATTTGTGAATTTAAAAGCATTGATTCGTGTGTGTGTGTGTGTGTCCTGTTTTTAGGAGAGAATACACTAAGTAAGTAGCATTTTGGGAAGCAAAGAACCAGTGTGAACAGAGAAGTAAAAAGATGGAGGGAAAGGGTCAGTGGGCAAGAAGCTGAAGTGAAATAATGAAGACAGTTTGTGAGAATAACTGTGAGTTGAGTTGTGCTGTGGGTAGGTGCGAGATTCTGCTCAATCACATGGTAATTACAGGCAGCCTTTTGGTTGGGGGTGTCTTGTGGAAGTGAATTCAGGAGTCTGCTAAAGGACTTTAACGGAATTTGACAGTAAGGTTGTTTGAAGTGAGGTAGTATAACTACATTTGAATTGCTTACTGATGAAAATGCTTAGTGTGTCCAGGATAGCTGAACTAATCAATGCAAGTCAGTTCAGGATGTGATGATGTTAAATTGTTGGTGGAGATCATTATGTAGTACTGCTCCAGATAAGTTCTGTAGGAACTTAGTGTTAAAAAAAAAAAAAAAAAATAAATCTGGAAAAGACAGATGAACTTCTGGTGCCAGCCTTCAAGCCTGTCAGTGCTCTTTAAAATTGTCTGTTGAAATGATGAGATCCTTCTCTAAGGTGGGGAGGAGCATCCCAAGCAGAGAAGTGAATTGTCAAATCTGTTCTTAAAAATCCTGAGGAACATTGATTCGATGTTACAAAACATTAGTTACATCTCTTCTTTTTTGATCTTTCGTTGCAATCAAAAGGTTCAGCCTGAAGTGGTTATTACTTAGTTATATTTAGTGTTGTGAAAGGATGCAAATATGTTTTCTCCATGCTTTACATATTCAGTTAATCATTTTGTACCCTTACCAAATCTCTACTTATGCTGTATGTGTCTGACACAGACCAGATTGGAAAGTCCAGAATGAAGTATGTGAGATGCAGAGATAATGCATTCTTCATCAGAGGGTGAAGAAATACCATACTGGTCACACTGAAATCATTCTGCAAGGTCTTCCTCTCCTTTACCAGCGTAACCAGAATAATTCAGGTGTGTGTCAGAACACCAAAGAAAACCTGACATATTCACCACCAGACCATCTGGTAATCACAGAGAAGACAAAGGCAGATAAAGGAGAGGCTACCTAAAGTCTGTATAAACTATTGTGCAGACATGTTTTATTAAGATATGCCTAGATACTGCGATGAGGACTGCTATGGAAAACCCATGTGCAGGACAGTGTTTGAAAAGCAGCAGTCTTGCTCTTTGACTTTATTGATTTTGCAGCATTCAGCATCTAAACAAGCCAACAAATGATTCCTGAACAAGCAAAAAGCTTATGTAGATTAGTCTAGTCCGCCCACTATCCTTTGGCTACATAGTGAACATCCCTGGAGGAAGATGGAGAAGGGTAAGCTATCTGATATGCAACACAAGTTCCTAGCTTGAGTTCTTTTAGAGGCATCTCAGCTTTTCCATCTGTTGTTGTAGAGGCCCAAATTATCTGTTCTAAGCAAACATTACAATACCTACTTGAAAGCCAGAAGCAATGAATACTTCTCAACTACACTATATCTGCTCATTGTTCAGTCTGTTCTGATACTGTTTTCTAATGATACAAGATGGGAAGGTTGGATTGGGTTTTTTGTAGATGCATCATTAAGGGAACCTGAAGGAGGAAAGGTCAGCCTTGGACTTTTTCTTCTGGTTGTGTCTACAACAGCTGAATTACTTTGTTAGCCTGGCTAATTTTTCCCACGTTAGACAAGGAGAGGCATGAGAGTTACATTGAAGGAGAATGAGTGCATGTATTTTCCCAAGCCAATGAGAGAATATAAAACATAAGGCAGTAAGTAAACATTCATAAATAAAGTGTAAAGGATCTATTTCAACATGTGTTCAAGACTGATTTCATTGGCAGTTGGAGTGACTCCTGTAATAAATATAATGAATGGGAAAAACTAATAAAACACAAGAGCTGAGGAACCAAGGGAGAAGGAGGCAGGAATCATTGTAGAAAAATAGGAAGAAATAAAGAAGGAAATGGAACAAAACTGATGTAATAAGGTACTCTTTCTAAAATTTCTTTTAAAAGTAGTGTTCACAGAATCCCATAAATTAATTGAGGAAGTGCATCACCCTTTTGAAAGCTTGCTGCTCCCAACATTTTCTCATCTGTTGTCATGTTAGGGTGTTGGCAGCCAAGTGAGCTGGAATGCCTTCACTGACTCAGAGTCCCCTGCGGCAAATGCTTTGTCTCGGTGCGCCTGTTTTCCCAACTGTAAAATGGGGATACTGGCTATAACTACTTCACAGGAACGATGGGAGTATTACATGGTTAATGCTTGTAAGCGAGCTTTGAAAAAGTAAAGTGCAAGTAGTAAAGCAGAAGGGATTATTATCTTACTTTTGACTCAAGGTCTCTTCACAGAAATATTGAATGACTTGATGACTGAAATGTTGTCATTCTCAAGCCACAGCTACAGGAGATGCTGCAAGTCTTTATCACAGACAGTTCCTTTTTGCAACATACCAAAGTTAATTAATTTTTTTATTGGGCCCAAAGTTACAGTTTTATAGATGAATAAATATATCCACCACTAGGAGAACAAAAGAAACCTGCTGAATGGGGCTCTAGATGGTGCAGGTGAGTTAGGAAATGCTGCTTTTCTTCCCTGATGTGTTGCCTAACTGCGGGTAGGTATCTGTGCCTCTGTTTCTTCAGCTATGAAATAAGTGGCGCAATACTGACCTACCTCAAAAGCACTGTGGAATTTGGTGTGGTCAACACACGAGCTGTTGCCATACAACTGACCTTAAGATCAGACTGTTTCCCAGTCAAAGCACCACTTTCATTTTTAAAAAAAATCTCCCTCCATTTCAGACATTTCCCCTTTCTTCCCAATATTTCTTGTTTAAATTTTTCATGTGTAAAAGCTGTATCTCCACCTAGCTATTTTATGTGAAGTGAAAATGATGTTTGTAGCCGTGAAATACATTTCAAATATTTTGCTTCTACCCTATTAATATAGATAAATTTAAACCTCCCAGAATGATCCTGTCTTTAGTCTTCAGTTGAAGACAAGGCATCCTAGTGTACTTGAAGAAATGTGGCTCATAACTCACAAACTTAGGGTAGTAATAAATACATTGCTTCTCTTAATGTTTTAATTGATACTTTGAGTATCATGCTGCAGTTGATAGTTGCCTCCTGCTCCATCTGCACAGGAGCACAGTGGCTGTCCTGGGGCACCACATGGACTCAGCAACATGCCCATGTGCTACCTATTGCAGGAGTCTGAATCCCAGTATATTTCAAGAGCAGGCTTCTGGAGAACAGTATGTGTAATCCTTTCTTGCCATTTACAAAACTATACCTCGTATGTAAACTTCTGATACCTGATCTTCTTTGTCAGTAGCACCAAGCTGCTTAAAAAAAAAAAAAAAAAAAAAGCAAGAGAGAAGAATGAAAAAAAAAAAAACCAGTGATTTATATGACATACTTGTAGAACAAGCTAATATACGTTTGTAGATAATGAGATTTATAAAAGATAATATAGGACATAAATCTCCAACCTACCATTTCCACACTCCAAAATGACATAAACCATTTAATATTGTAATGAGAAACATTGTAGTGCATATGGGTGTTTAGGTTGGCAGATGGGACCAGGTGATTCAGACCACATCAAAGAATTCCCTCTTTTTAAAGCTCTGAACTTAATTTGTTATTTTCTGACAATAAAAACAGAATTGTAATTGTTGTGGGGTTTTTTCACATGCTGGCATAATAAATTGTAAATCATGTCAGCATCTCAGCCTGTTTTAAACTAGTAATTCGTTGTACTAATGTTTTATAAGGTCAGCTCTGTTTTATTTGAGTACAGCAAGGTATTTTCCATTGTGTATCTTGAGTCTTAAAAATTCCCAGAAGATAGTATTATATTGTTCAGATCTCTAAAGTGTATATATGATTTTATACTGAGAAAGTTAAGAGTTTTGGGGCAGTTTTGGTGTTATTTTTTTAGGACAAGAGTCTTGTTTGTTGGAGCTGAAAATCAGGAAGTGAGGATGGTGAAATTAACTCTGTGAAGATAGGTATAAATGCAATCCCATCTAAGTAGATTTTTGCTTTAAGGTTAAGATCAGTTAGGAGGTGCGGTTAAGAGGAATTCTCCTGTGGCTTTATCATTGTCGGCATAGATTTTATCCAATAGCTATGGCAGAATAGATCATTTACCTTGGTAATTTGCAGATTGGCATATCTTTGCAAAGCAGTTTAAATTTGGAAAAGAATTTTTTAACCATATAGCTGAAATATTTTCAGGTTCTGGACTCTGCTTTTGGCTTCAGGTTCTTTATGCTGTCTGTGAAGGCATGAAATTAAGAGTTGTGTCAGTGTGTCAATTGGTGAAGGTGTTGCCCTGTGAAAAAGCATGAGTCCCCCCTGCTAGGAAGTTCTGAATGGCTGTGGGTACCAGCATGAGTTGGGACAATCACAGTGCTACTCAATTTTCATCTCAGTCCAATGTCTTCCTCCTTGTAACTAGTTCATAGAACAAAGATTGCTACGTGAGAGTCAGTGACAAATGTTTGCTTTCCCAAATAAAAGCCATATGAGAAAAAGTCAACTTAAAAATGGCAGCGAACTAAGAAGTAACTTCTTGTGTGCACAAGAAATTGAAGTTTAAGGGAAATCCAGGAATGATTGGCATGAGAAGTGTGTGCTAAAGGCATCTACGTAGCTTTAGCTTCACTGGTGACACCAGAAGACATCATCCATTTATTTCATTGGGAAAAGACAGGAGATGAAAAAACCTGTCAGAGAGGCAATGATAGTCAACAAGTAGGATCATCTCTCCTGCATGGATTTCTTCTGCCTGTTTGTCAGCTGGAAGGCCGAGGAAGGCTGTCCCCTCTCCACAGAAGCCTATGCTTGAGATCTTTCAGAGATGCTCCAGGCTCAGTCCCCATTACTACAGAAACTGCATTTGTCAGATGCTGTGGATAGGACTGCTTCAGCTGAGGATCAGAGAGGGATTTTTCCCCTTTGGTGCAGAAGCCACTAAGACCTAGTTGGTTTTTGTTTCTTTCTTCCCTTACAGAACTATGGATGCACCAATGTCTTGGCTAGAATTAAACATTAATACATTTTAAAAATTATTAGTTAATGGCAATTCAGAGCTCTCCACTATGGATAGAAGGTGAAATAGAATTTTACCGAACAGTAAGGTGTTACTTGCATAGCATTCCAGTGGCAAATTCAACCAATATATACATTCAGTATGCATTCTCATAGCACAGTAGTTACTGATCATATCTTTTAGAACTATTAGATAAATTCAACTTGTTGTAGGTCAGAATTTAATGGTGACTGATTGTAAATGTTAAATATTCACAGTGTGTGTGTATAAATAAATAAACTATAAAATGGATGTGTATGTATTATTTTTCTGTAGCCTTAAGGGTTTGGGAGGGAGGTAAATTGTTCTGGGACTGTTTTGTGTTGATTGACAATGGTTTAAAATTCAGGTTTTCTTCATGAGCAGGAAAAGTCTTTAAATTATATCTAGTACATCTAGGTTTTGAACTGATGCGTGTACTCATCCTCATAAAACTAATTACTGTTGCTGACACCAGGAATCTGGCAAGGTTTTGTTTATATCTGTTAACTGTGTTTCTTGTTATCACTGAAGCACCTACACAGGTACTTTGCTGTGGGTATATCATTGCAAGGACTTGTTCTAAATGTATTATTTTAATTAACTCTAAGTGTCTTCTCTTACCTTCTCTCTCCCTCACTCTCTTTCTAGTAACAGTGTTCATTCCACTTCTTTTTCATTAAATGCCCTTGCCTTATGTTTGTCTTGACTGGCTTCTATTTACAGAAATTGTAAACCAGTTGAATGCTCTGAGCAGCTTAGATGAAGATCAAGATGACTGCATAAAGCGAGCAAATATGCCTTCAGCTAAATCAGCCAGTTCCTCTGAAGGTCTATGAGCTTTCCTCCTTTCTTTCTGTTTCTGATTGTCTGTATTTACTGTGACCTGTTACCTTTTGACTCCTGCCTGTATTCAGCTGTCAGTTTTATCTCTGTCCTTCCACCCAGCATGACTCTCAGTAATTTGTAGTGCATCCAACAGGTAACAACACTATAGAAAGTGAGCCTATGTCCTCTACAGCTCAGTTGTCATCTGATAATGAACAAGAAAGAAGAAAAATTACAAAAAAAAACCCAGACCCCAAGCCTAAAACATAGTTTTGCAGGCAATAAAATGTGACCTTTCTAACTTGACAAAATGTGCCCTCTGATTTTACATGCATGTTACATCCAAAACTTAAATTTCCTGCCGATAGTTAACATGTATGTGAACAACCTAAAATAAATTGCTGTATCTAGCTTGTTAGACATTCTGCAACATTTATTTCATGAAGATAATAGGTTTTCTTTGTAGTCGTTTCTGTTATGTAATATTCTGATCTGATCAGCAAACAGAACTTTCATTCATTTCACTTTTTCTCCTTTGTTGGTGTACTACTCAAGTGCATTAGCTTAGTTGTGCGGTTTGTGCCATACCTGGGTGCAGTGTTTTGAGGGACTGTTGATATAGGGGTTTTTGAGCTTGAAATATGTTAGACAAACAGTTTGTGTCTAGATTAAAACAATATTCAAACTTGTTTCTAGAGCTTATCAATAAGCTTAATTTTCTGGACGAAGAGGAGCAAGACCTGGCGAACTCTAGTACAAACCCTTTTGGTGATCCTGACACAGCAGAATTAAATCCATTTGGAGACCCTGACGTAGAAGGTAATAGATTTGTATTACATAATTCATCATTAATTGCAAGTGCTTAATGAAACGTGATTATTTTTTTTTTTATAAGGCTACAAATGAAAAATGTTATTTTGATTAAATACTGCATGCAGGACTGAGGTAGCAATAACAGTGATCCAGTCGTCACCAGAAAATGGATTTATCTTTTGAGTCACATCCTTGTATGTATTTGCCACTGGGGGCTACCAGCTAAGAGTTGAACCAGAGACTTTTTGAGCTATTAGGTGTGGTACTAGTACTCACCTCGTGGTATAAATGAGCAACACATACTGTCATAGGGGCACATAGTGCCCCTGTTCTATGTGGATACTGGTTTATATCAGAACTTCCTTCACTGCATCACAGCTATTCCTGGTTAGCACTAATCTTCATTATCATAATTTAATTGTGTCTCTTTCATTCTTCTTTTTTTGCTTTTATGGCTTCCTCAGTTAAGCCTTCTGGCATTGCGTCTTGTACCACATGGTAGGTGTTAATCCCCTTTCCAGACAGACGTGCCCATTCTTGTTCTGTTTGAGTGAGAAATACAACCCCTGTAAGTTTTTAATTTGACAAGACTTTGTCCATAAGGCCAGAAAGGAGCACCAAGACAGCAGGCATCTCTGCTGTCCCCAACTCCATGTCCAGATATGCAGGCTTCCATCTGCTGCCATAAAAAAAAAGAAGTGTATGACTTCCTTAGTTTGCAGCTGCTCAGAATGCCAATCCATAGTTAATTCCCAAGTTTGAAGCTGTACTCAACCTTTCCTGTTCAAACCTCCAAGACTTTTCTTCCCACAGAAAATACCAAGGAGCATTTGCCACCTTTGACCAAACCCCAGGAGCCACTCTGTAACGGCTGTGGAAAAGAACCACACTGAGCAGGGCAGCCCAGGATACAGCCATGGGATTTCTGAAGGCCAGGTCTAATGAGGATGCATTTCTGAGCTGCAATTTCCACCTGTGGTTACTCTCTTTCTCTGGACAAGCTGAATGTTTACTCACAATGTGGCCTTTCTGCCTTCCGAGTCCACAGAGGCCAATGTGGGTGGTGATCTAAGTCCCGTCATACTTTGGCTGTGGTGTAGTCTCACAGCTTGTATTTCTCAAACAGGGACATTGCACTATCTTCTGTGTTTGGCCATTGAGGCCATAAAGCCACAATCCCAGGCCCTTGTCCCTCCTATAAAATTGTGAGGTGCTTCTAGAACAGCAGAGTTGAGTTGTTTCAGCTTTGTAGATGCCAATATATATGGATTAGGTTCTGGTGTCTAGATCTTTGGCTTTGTTTCCTGTCTGCTTCTTGGCTGTGAATTCCCCTAGGATGACAGAAGGAGGCAGAATAAGCAGGGATATAAACCACCTATTCTCATCCATCTAGTTGTCCATACAGTTTTCTCTAAGAGACTTGGCCTGTATTCCTTTCTTCCTTCTCTACGCTAGGAAGGAAAGCTCCCTTCTCCCTGGAGAGAGCTGTACAAGTCCCATCCTATGTAAACTGCTGTTTTCCAAACCTGGCTTTTCTTTCCTTTCCAGAGAGAACCTGCACTGGCAGAAAGCAGCGGGTCTTCTGACCACAAAATAAGAATGACTAAGAATTGGTTCCTTCTCAGCTCAGGGCCAAGGAGTTAATAAACTGGTGGTGTTCCTTAGTGCTGGAGTAGCTTGACACCTCATGTCAAGTTCCCTATGAGCAGCCTGCATCCAAGGCTCAAGCCTGCTTATGTTCGCAATATATGTGAGGCACCTTTTTTCAGTCGATTCTGGTCCCTTTGGTGGCATCTAGCCCTTACTGCCATCTTCAGTCATAGTCCTGGACACTTCTGTCTTCCTTTGGGTCTGTTCTGCGTACTTTGGACAGTCTCAGGGCTCAGACTGTTGGGTTCCCAAAGAAATCCCATCTATATGGCTGTGGGCAGCAGTGCTGAGTTGTTGGGTGTGTGTGTACCAAATATTCCTCCCACACATTGTCGCCATCATCCAGCAGTCAATGTACAACAACGTGATAGTGATTTTGATAAACAGGGTGTCACTAGATTCTTCCTACTGTGTCATAAGGTGTTTTTTATTTGGGAGGGATGGAGCTTATGTCAGGTTCATGTGATGGGAGTATGTCTTCCTGGAGCACTGAGGAAGATCTGAGGCGTTTCAGGCTGTCAGACAAGAGTGGGACATCTGGTGTGGCTCCCCAGGAATTCTTCTAGTCATGTCAGACACCTCTGAGGAGTGCTGGCTCTTCCGTTCCAGAGGTGTCTTCCTCCCTATAATGGGCACTGGTTGTGTTCGTCTTCCCTTGGTTGGCCTTCTTGACATACGTCTTTCTTCCAGTCCTCACAGAAAGTTGAGGAGGAAAAAAAGGTACTGAGATGAATTAAGACAGTTTTGGTCTTCAGCAAGAGCAGGAATCTGCTATGTATGTCTTTGGCTAATTGGATCAGTATATCTATGTGGGGTGCACGTAGGCCTTACCATTTTGGGGACTACATTTTGAAGCTACATAATATCGAGGCTGTCCTTACCCTGTTCAGCTCTACTGCAGGAGGCTGCCCTGTTTGTTTCCCGTTTGGCTGCAGGTATATTCCCTTGTGGTGGCTGCAGGTATATTCCCTTGTGGTTTAGGACATTTCTTCTACTCTGAGACCTCAGTGGAACTTTCATTGCTGCCATCTGTTTTTAGGAAGCTCTTTGAGACTATGCCCACTTGTTTGCTTTTGCGTCCTTACGTGAATGTGACCTTTTTGGTGGCCACCCCAGGAGCTTGGGAGCATGACAGAGGTTCAGGAGTTTAAGGCAGACTTTCTCCTAAAGGCTTAGAGAGTCACATTACCTGTTTCACTTGTCTTGTGATCGCTGAAATCAAGAGATTAACCTTTTATGCGTGCAGGGATGACATGTTTTTCTATTCTGTACATGTTAGTCTGCTTAATCTTTTTATCTGGACAAGGCAAAATCTTGAATTTAGACTTTGGAAGTTCAGTCTTTCTGTAGAATTTGTTACTTAATTTCCCCAAGATGTGCAGAGCAGCAGCCATCTGGAGCCTCCCTTCCCAAGTACTTTGCCATCAGACTCTAGGAGACACGATGTGCCATTTGGCAGAGATATTCCAGCGATATTCCTATCAAGCCTGTAACCTGTGTGCTTAGCGAGAGAGTGCTTAGAGCCACCAGGGTATGAATGTGTATGTATTGACAGTCACTCAAAGAGAAAGGAGGATTACTTGCCAGTAGATACTTGTTTCCTAGACAGATATTTCTTGTGCCTGTTCACAAACCAGCTACTTTCCCTCTATCTTCCTAATCCCATAATCATCTAACCCTGGGAATGTGGGGTGGAGAGAAACTAAAGGTGTGAGTGCTCCCAGAATCCATGTGCACACTGTGGGTGTGGTGCATGGCAGAGGATCATCAGCAAGCTCTCTCTGGATGCTGCTGTGGTTTAAAAAGCCCTTAATGTAAATGACCTTACACACACAGTGGAGTGAATATGTGTATGAACAACTCCCCTCAAAAAAAATCTTCAGCTGTGTTTATTGACATGTCAAATTGAGCCTTATTCCCCCTGAATCTATCAGGTCAGCAAGACTTTAGAAATATGGAAAATCAAAAATAATCTCTTTGAACAGTATATCTCTACAGCTTTATACTAGACAATATGCAGATGGTCATATTGGGACTGCCTTTTGGATTGTCTTTTAGTCACATTACAACAGAACTCTAAAATGAGTTAATTTTTGTGCAAAATAGTTCTCTTGGGGAAGTCAACATATACAACAAATGCAAATAGAAAACACGACACACTTTCAGTGCTCCAGATATTTTTTTAATTAGGTGGGGAATGCAAATTTTGAAGTTGCATATGACAAGTACAAGTTCCCTGCGGCACACCTGAGATGTGAGGGTAACTATTTGCTGGCACTGCCCCCCCTTTCATTTAAAACATCATTGACTTTACCAATGTGTTTCTTTACCTCGTGTGTAGACTTCTGAGCTCCCTGCAGGATGTATTACGCCGCAAATGAAAACAGTGCTACAATGCAGTACCAAACCCCAGAATCCTTCTGAGACAGTTGTAAGGAGGGCAGTACAAGAACCAAGACAGAGGAAAACAATTACTCTGTCCCTTCTCCTTATATTTCTTAATGAAATGCAATGTGTTGTGTGAGTGTTAATAAAAGTAGTTGAAAATCATCAGTGGTTTATAGGAATGCCAGTCGTCATGCTTTCTAGAAGTACTGGGAAGTTACATTTTTATTCTGTGCAGTTTGTTACGCTCACATCACCATCGTGACTGTGTGTCTGCCAGTAGTGCAGTAAATGGCATAACTAAATATCGTTCACATGTGGCTTGCTCTTTCATCCTCTGCCAAGGGGAAAGTGGTATGTGTAATGTTTTGGTGGGGGTTTTGTTTGGTTTTAAGGGATGTGTCACAATATGTTTGTGTTACAAAAGGCAAGTGGGTTGAAGGGCAGGGTGATTTTTGGAGATCCTCTGGGAACTAGAAGGCTGATTGTGCAGAAAGGTAGTGCCAGAGTGATTACTATCACGAGCAGCCTTTCTCAGTGGAGTTAGGGCAAGTAATGTTTCCAGAATCTGGCACAAGAGCAGCTGGCGCTTCTGCTGTAGTCATACTTCTCCCTCTCCTCTTGTCACTCCTACCCCTATGGCTTTATTACTTAACCATGCAAAATTATTGTGTGTTTGACCCTTGGACTGCCAAACTGTAAGTGTCTCTCTTTTTTTTTTTTTTTTTTTTTTTTTTTTTTTTTAGGAATTCCAATTAAAAAAATTAGTTCC